GTGTGTCAAGTCACAAGTGGAGTAGAGTGGCTTATGTTACAAACTCTTCACAGACGAAACAAGACCCTAATGACCTATCTACAAGTACAAGGAAAGAGTCTTACGCTTTTTCACTATCAAGTTGTGTTTTTCGTCGTTTTAACTTTTAATTAAGCTTGCAGTTCTTGTTGCGACGTATCTTATTATACCTTAGCAAATAGTTTCATAATATATTAACTATTACTTGCATAAGATAAATTTTAGGCTGATACACAGCCTACACGCTGAAAACAGGTAAATTCTATCTATTCACCTGTTGTGTATATGTTTATGTATAAATATTAATAACTAGCTGTAGCATCGACTTCGTTCACTTGGATTAGTTATTTTCCACGTGAAATTTGATACAAAAATTTTTCCTCCTCATCTTTATCAATTTTAGCTATTGCCCGATGTCGGTCGGTCTTGCAAGCTAATCTCAATAGAAAGACACAATTTACTATCGCGTTTTAAACCGTTATATTATTTAAACTTATTTGAAACATGAATACACAATTTTAACTGTTGGCCCGACGTTTCGAGATGCATTTAATGTCTGTCTACATATTTTTGAGCATCTTGAGCCGTGGCACGCGCAGACTCCATAAAGATCGATACGCGTATTTTACACCGTTACCAGTGTTTCTTCACTTTTCGGTCGAAATGTGTACCTATTCTGCCTCGTAAAGCTATCAAGACAAGTATTTTTTACTAACCAGTAGTTCCTGATTAACGTGTTCAAACAAACAAACAAACAAACTTTTCAGTTTTTTGTAGTAGTATAGATTACACAAAGAGACATTTCTAAAGTAAATGTAGCAGTCATAGCGTTGTACCAACTTTTAGATTACGCGTACTTTATCCTGGAATTCTCGAATCATCATTATTTATAGACTTTTTTTCAATAGCATCACATAAAACCATAATCTTTCGACGCTTATGTACTTCAAACAGGTTTTAAATCAGTAATCATAAGATATTAAAGAATTTTTGAACATTCGGCATACAATATATTTTTTCCTACAAAGAACATTTTACTTAGCAAGCGGCTCCCAACGGTGTAAGGCTGATCTGATTCGCGTGTCAGTTGACGAATGGGCCAAGCCCTGAATGTAGGATTAATGGTGGCTCGGAGTGTGGACGTCATGCAACGGATTTCTGTCAAAGCTGTCTCGAACACGTGCGCAAGACGCTCACATTCGCTTAGATCTGAATAAAGATTTATTAAGAACAATATTCTTGTTCTTGTGGGTAGATGTGCTTTGGTGTTCTTTTTTTCTGTAGGCAGTATAATTTTATCTCATTCAAAATATCGATACTTTTTAAGATCATAAACGGCAGTTTTTTAAATTAGGAGAAAGTTAATTGGGAATAGTAAAGGAGGGCATCTTAAAGACAATAAATTTCTTCAATAGATAAATTCAGTCTAATACATTGGCGAGAGGCGACATAATGTAACCAACCACTAATATTGGATTTGTTAACTATATGGCTGCTAGAGGCAGAGTAGCCTAACTGCAATTTTATGACTTGACTTATTTATATTTTTTTTGTTAAATATGTATATGTATATATAATATACGGGAGCATAGTGATCGGAAATTGTTAACATAACTAATTTATACACAAATAATAATACAAATTCAGTTTTGTCTAAGTTAATTGCGCATTTTTATTTTCCTCCTAATTGAAAATCTTGTTTTTTTTTAAAGGCCTTTCTGCCTGATATGTAAAACAGATAATAATGCAGTTAATACTAGTAGCAGATAATAATAGTCTTATATAAATAATAAATTAAAAAAAACAAACGGATTGAGCTAAATAAAACAGTTAAAAAAATACATGGAATCGATGTATGTCACTCGTTAATCATTATTGATAATACTCTATAAAATAACTATGACTTGCTCAAAGAGACATCTATACAGGAACATGGGAACTACGTCCATATTTTTATTATACTTAATTAAATCGTCATCTGGCGAATAGAAATTATTAAACTGTATGTTGTTGTAGACCTTTCGATTAGAGTTTTGATATCATTGTTTCATAATTTTCTAGAAGAGGGCGCTTAAATCAAAGGTATGAATTTATAAAGCTGTAAGCTAGATGGCGCTTATATCAACACAAAAATATGATTATTTATATAAATTTACTTTATTCCCCTTAAAAAATTCAATTTTATTTTCTTTTCGCATCTGTCACAAGGGCCTAGTTTTATACAAAATTAGTAGCCAATGAATGCATTATACTATATTATATTGTGGCAGATTGTACATAATGTCAATTTAAATAGGTTTTATCTAATTAATACAAATATTTTTGAATTTAATCAAAAAAATACTTTTGGCTACTCTTTGAATAGCGACGACTACCAAGCTTTTATTAACTAAACAAGTAAGTTAATTAATTGTCTAAGGCTGTGTAAGTAAGTTAATGTCTGTATTGTGCGATCAGGATTCGAGCCTGGGACCTCTCGCTCTTTTTTATACCATTGTATCACTGAGCCTCTGAAGCAAATCCCCAATTCTATCTATATCAAACTCACCTCATTCAAATAACGGGAACCTACTCAACCGTTGCTATCGTATTTGTTTAGAAAGGAGAACAAATTTGAAAGATATTATAAATAAATTAATATTTTACTTTGACCGCAAATAATTACAAGGCACCCAATTCTGCTATTCACAATGCCATGTTGTGGATGTTCTTTAACATTCATTTTAACAACATCGTATTCTTATTTGCATTGAAATTGGTTGAAATAAGAACTACACCGCTATAGTCGATATATTTTAAACGTTAGACATAATATGTTAAATGTTTTCGTGTAAATAAATGCGAATTAGCAGAATTGGGTCCCAGGTGGTCAGTTTAGCGATACTCAAAACGTGGTGCCAGTAATTGGTTAATAACCGTGACGGCCGCAATTTGAACCCGTTAAAATAGTTTTAATTCACTAACAAACGTGCAAATTTAATAACGTAACTGTTTTGGATTGGAGTTTGTAATACGCCTTTGTATTTTGCCGCTTATTGGTGTTTTGGACCGTTTAAGTTTTGAAAAACTTTTAATAGTGCTTAAGTTGCTAAGCATACGGTACGTTGTGGCATGGGGCAGTGTGATGTGTTATGATTTATAATATATTTGAAAATTATTTTTATAACCCAAAACTTTAATATAAAGCTCAATGTCTCCGTTCTTTTAAGACTATGGTTTTTAAATATTATTTTTCCCACTCTTAATTTAATTGCTCTCTCACTTCTATTTTACTAAGTACCTTTGCTTTTTGTTTATTATTCCTTACACCTACCCACTTGATAAGCCTTCTTTAATTTCTTTTCTCCTGTACTTCAGATTACCTGGAATAGATCGCTGCTTAGCGATAAGGCCACCTTTTATTTGTAAGTTTGTAGGTTAAGTTTTATCTCTTGTAGTTTTTGTATTATGAATAATAAAGCTGTAATACATAAATACATTTTAAAATAAATCTATTTTAAGGTTTGGACGCAAAGTACAAGAGTTTAATGAATTAATGACATCCCCCTGTGACCACGGCTACTGCAAATCATTCACGTCGGGCCGTAGTTATATTTAATTAGAAATCTTTTAAATAATTCATTTCGTGTTTTAAGCCGTTAATGGTGTTTTATTTAGATGCTCGCTTTAACTACAGACAATTCTTAGTATATTCTTAAATTGCTATTGACGATGGATATTTAATTTCATTAATAACCCAAATAAAAGGTATAGAACGGTACATGGGTAAAACTATTGTTTATCTTATGTTAGGCTCAGACCCGACATATTTCAAAGTCCGTTTTATCATTTCATTCAATACTACATCAACCTGTGCCATTTGAGCCATTGTACCAGAGACTAGCAAAACGGCTTAAACGCAAGTAATGCAAAAAGTGTTATGCGGTAATTCAGTAGGTTCCTTTTCTTTAGGTTGCCTGAAAGAAATCGCCATAGGCTATTTTATGTAAAGTATTATAATAGTTTGTGTAATTAGGTGTTTTATTATTATTATTATAATTATTTTTAGGATCTTCTAAGCGTGGCGCCTAGTCTGGTATCATCTCAAATATGTTCAATTAGAACCCTCTCATCTTTCGTCCCCATCCTTTTGCTATAATACGTCCATTGTATTCATTATCTGAACCAGAACAAAGAATCGGTGCTTATAAAAAAAACAATAAATGGTTCCCTTATCGTAGTGGTATAAAACAAGGGTCCAGGTTATCTCAAAATGGACGCGTGATGGACGGACGCATTTGCAATTTGCAGATGATAAATGTTTCCTATACTTTCCTATTGTCTGTCAATTCTCGACAGACGGAGCTGCCTCAGACGCGAGTATAAAACAATAATATAACGCCTATTATCCATTTTCTATAGTTTATACTAATACATTTAAATAAAACATTTTCAACGGTTTAGAATGCAAAATATATCCGTAGTATCAAAAACTTCGGGTTGTAGTTAAAAAAAAACCCTATAATATATATATTAGGTTTTTTTATTAGTGTATATTTATTGTGCTTTAAACCACTGACGTGGTTTATTTAAATGTACGACTATTATTTTATTATTTCTTTTTTTTTTTTTTTTTGTTTTTTTTTTGGGGTTTTTTTTGGGGGGGGGCGCCCCCGCGGGGCGCCCCCCCCCCCAAAAAAAATTTTTTCCCCCTTTTTTTCCCCCTTTCCCCCCTTTTTTTTTTCCCTTGGGGCCGCGCCTCCTTTTTTAAAAGAATGTTTCCATTCGAAACCGATTAGCGCGTTCAATCAAACTTTTCAGCTTTTTAATGTTAGTAGAGAAGATGTATTAGAATTCAAAAACTTACACTTTTATTATTGACACTGACAGTACTCTACGGTTGTTTTTTATTAGCTTCTCTCTCCCAACAATCACCAAACCGGTAATCGATTTGTTTGTGTCAAACTCCTTTCAGGCCATTGGTTCTCGTCAAGTGAATTATGTCAAACAGTTTTTAGGTTAAGTGAATCAGTCAAATTAGTTTTATTTCGTTTCGAGCACTTATCACAATTGACAGCCCACTGCACTTTTACTCGAAGAACCTGAAATGATAATTGAAAGTAATTAACATTAACACCGCTCCACAATTAAGTGGTTAAAAAAGAAATTTCTTTAATTGAAAGCTTGCGCTTTGCCGTTTTTATCTGTGCAATTGGGGGCGACCACAGATCATAATAAATCCAAATACTTGCTGCGTACAGAAAAATAGTTAAATAATTTAAATTAAACACTTCTAACGGTTTTAAACGTGAAATATATTACTTAAGCTATTTTTATTTTAACTTAACTGTGTATTGACATTTGAACATTCGTTGTTGTTGAAATAATTTGAATTGTTTATTACTACATAAAACATTGTTAGTTTACACGTTAGTTTAAAACGCGAGCTATCTCGTGATCACTGCTGTTGCAAGGCGGATTAGATAATTAAACTACAGCTCGCTGTTTCAATTTCTTTGCAGGAGCCATGGTCATGGGAGGAGGGGCTCATTCGTATATAATACATAGTCGTCGTTAACTTAATAGCGTTCTTAGTTCTTTCGATATATGAAACGATATGTGAAACATGTAACATTTTATGTAACAAACAACACACAACACAGTACGGTGTGTGAGTCTGTCGCGTTATCAGTTACGTTTCCGCGAAATAATAATTATGTTGATCAATATTGTATCATCGGGATTGATGACCTATTAAATAAGTAAATGATAACAATGTACTTTTAAATAAAACACTTTAACAGTTTGAAACGCGATACATTAGTTAAACTTATTTGAAAATGATTTTTAACTTCGGCCCGACGTTTCGGATGCTTTGCAGCAGCCGTGGTCACGGGGAGACTAAAGATGGAGGATGTCTCTGACGTCAAAGTAAAAAATTGCTACGCTGGCGCCATCTGTTCCGTCGAAGTTGGTATTTTGCGAAACTTGCGGGGTCCTTACAGAATTGTAACTTATTATCGTCCTACTGTAAGGCATAGACACGGTAGCTCAATTGGTTAGAGCACGGAACGGTGTGGATGCCGGTTCAAGTCTCGACCGTGTTGTTTTTTTTAATCTAAATTGATTTTTATTTATATTAAAAAAATATATTTATCAGTCTGCCACGTTAATTAATCTACTTTAGAGTGAAGGATGCAGAGTTGCAAATCTCGTAGAATAAAAGGTAATTAGGAGGTCTATACTACACGAAACGGTCGTTACAAAAAAGGTTATTGTACCTTCGTTAACACTATAGGCGACATAAAAACGTTACTATCACGAACCAAGAGTCGGTATTACGTGGATAGCATTCGTTGTAGCTAAATTTGATGGTACTAGTAACTGGTAGTCGTTAAGCTATATAATCCCATATATATCTATAGCCCACGGACTCGTTTGTCTAACTCTAGTGGTAACAATGGTTAATAATCAACGGATTTTGTGTCCGATCGCCATTTTGTAGTGATAAGTTAAGTAGTATGCAGTTTACGCGAGTAGTACACGTTTAAATAAAACGTTAAAAGTAATGCAGAATATATTCGTTACTTTAATTTTACTTTGACATTAGGTACACCCTCCATCTACAGTCCCCCCGTGACTACGGCTACAGCGAAGCATCCGAGTCGTCGGGCCACGGTTAAAATAACTTGTAAATAAGTTTAACTAATCTATTTCGTATTTTAAACCTTTAAAAGTGTAAACCCGTTCTATATTATTCTTTATTCACATTACAACTTTTGACAACCGGGTACCGACTTTCAGGGACACATCTTAATTTCCTGAATTTAAAAAGATCATTCACGCAAAATAGCCCAGTCTGCTAGACTTATCTAATCGAAAAAAATTACAAGTTATCATATATCATGCGATTTTTCAATTACCCAGATGTTCATCCAACTGTTTCAGAGCCAGAAACAGAATCACACGTTAACTCTAGGGTTGTCAACAGTTTTCATATATAGTTTTTGTATGGGGAGAAGCCTTAATAAAGCACATGGCACAGGCTCGATGATGTAATGATAGCAATGCATGGCTAATAATCAAGTCGTTGTGTATTCGATCCCCACTGGGGACAACATTTATCTAATCAATTTATAATTCTGATGCATGTTGAACTTCGTCTGGAAGTCTGGATATTAAGCGGTGGTAGAAATATCGAAAATACCGTCCACGTTACGTACCACGAACCATTTTCGAATATCCAAAGCCAAGAAAAATAGGTAGCGTATCTTGTTTAGATGTAACATGGCTAGGATATGTCACCTACCATCAAGTAAACTCCCCGCTTATCTGTTGTCTTCTCTTATAAGTAAAGCTCGATTAAATAGAACACGATACACGGTTTAAAACGAGATATATATTAGTTAAACTTATTTTAAAGCTTTAACTAAGACATATCGCGTTCAAATTTTTATCTAAATACTTGCGTAAACTTCAGACAGTATTTAAAAGTTCGATTGTGTAGAGCAGCATTAACGCTATGGATGCCGGATCAAGTCAAGACTGTGTCGTAAAATTTCAATCCAAATTAATAATAACGTTACTTAACAACACGCAGTAATTAACAAAAAAAATCGTAGCTACCTCTCCGTGCTATAAATTACTTTAGCAATATATAGTACGCAGTCTCAAAATATAGTACCGATAGTACAATACTATATTTAGTAGGGTTGGCACCGCATATGAGTGACGTATTTGGTTCGTGAATGTTTGACGTGCTTCGCTTTGAAAGCGATTCCACTTAAGAGTATTGTGTTGCATTGAACAATAAACACAATATAGTCCAGCCGCAGCACAGATTTTAAATCTATCCGCAAATTGAACATTGTCTTACTAATGCAAGATATTGTTTTCAGCGCGTGGAAAATGTTATTGTGTATAATACAGTTAGATGAGCTGATTTGTTTTGAGATAGAGAAGGACAGACAAATATGGTGTTTCCTTGATGGTAGGTGAAATACTTCAGCCAATAGGTCGACATAGCATCTAAACAAGTTGCGCTGTCGGCCTATTAGGATATTCGAAAAAGATATACTAATATATTTCTTCTTATTTAAATTATGATAATTATAGATTTGATAATTATCTCAAACTTTGTAAACACTGTGTAAACATTTCAAGCTGTAACAAGTAAGTACATACTGTGTCGGGACGAAGTTAAAAATCATTTTCAAATAAGTTTAACTAATATATCGCGTTTTAAACCGTTAAAGTGTTTTACTTAAAAGTAAGTATATTATTTTTTCTACAAGTTTCTATAACTGACCGACTCTGTACCTAAATTGTTAAACGTGTTGCCTAGCATTGTGTTAATGGTGTGAAGTCCTGTCTTTAAATCCTAATAATTAATAGATTGTTTCGGGAAAGGCACAAAAGTCTGATCAACTATTGTAAAAGAACCAATTAGTGGACTAATATGTGTTCACCCTTCGACTGCCCTCACATTAGATTATGACTTAATAAAATACTAGATTGAACTTGGATCTATAAAAGCTGCTAAAATATTGTACTAATATACAATCCTTGTTGCTTCGTCAAAGGAGTTCTTTCTAGCAGCGGATTTAATAGTTATTGGATATTTCCTGTTCCTAAAATAGAGTGTAAGGGTAAACGGCTAACAGTAAAAACAAACCGAGTGTGATTCTCAAAACTAGTGCGGATGTAGAAAACGATCAATTTATTTACACTGTCCAGTGCAGTAAACTGTAAGTGGAGAATGCAACTTTGTCAATTATTGTCTTTGTTTATATTGGACTAGCGTCACCTAAATTGTTACTGATACTACGATCTTACATTACTTTTATTTACTTCACTTTAAAACAGATTGTGGTCATAGTTCATAACATTGTTTTCGTGGCTTGAAAAATATTATTGTCAAATTATTATATTTAAATAAAACACTTTAACGGTTTAAAACGCGATAAATTAAACTTAAAATTAAACTTATTTGAAAATATTTTTAACTTCGGGTGGACGTTTGGATGCTTTGCAGCAGCCGGGTCACGGGGATTATTGAAATATGTACTACTCGCGTAAACTATAGACAATATTTAAATTATTATATGAAGAAGCTCCATTGAGTTTCGTTTTATTATGTATGTATGTTGTACTCATATAAGTATTGTATACAAGAAAGCAATTTCGCGTTCTATTGACATAGATTTTGTTGAATCATATGTATTCCGTTGCTCTAGACTTTGTTTCTAGATCATTAACAATGGTTCACAGGTGTTATTCATTCAATGTTTAAGTGAAAACTTGGCTTTCTTTTCCGATTATTACGACAATAGTAACCTAAATTATTATTTATATAAAGCTATAAGAAATTAATTAAATAGGAATTAATTAAAGGCAATCCATAACAATCAAATCAACCTACTTGTTGTTAGCGCTACTTTGATTTGAAAGGGCAAATGCGTCATACAATTTTGAATTTAGAAACGGATTCGCGATCTACCCACATGCAGCCTTAAGCGCCATATTCGCGAGTTAACCATGAGGTGACATTACGAATTTCTATCAGTGAATGGCTTCCGATGACCAAGTGGGTCCGCGACCTTCAACGCACCCACCAAATGACTCACATTCGCCTACTATTCCCAGGTATGCGTATTATATTTTTGCATGACGCCGACCTTTTGATACGTTTCACAATTAATGACCTCAATAGCCTATTTACTATAACCCATGACACAATTAATTAGACCTTTTTACCAGACGAAAGGTAACGATGTTATTATTGTAGGTATGTTCCACTTTAGAGTTTAAAACACTAACAGATATCAATAAACGACGTGATTATAATGGAGGAGCATAAAATCTATAATTGTTAGTATAAGAAAAAAATAATAATAAAAGGAAATAAAAAATTAATGTATTTTATTGTTTGGTTACTAAATATGGTAAAATTTAAATAAAACACTTTAACGGTTTAAAACGCGATATATTAGTTAAACTTATTTGAAAATGATTTTTAACTTCGGCCCGACGTTTCGGATGCTTTGCAGCAGCCGTGGTCACGGGTGCTGCTAATAAGTTCAAATAAGTTTAACTAATATATTGCGTTTTAAACCGTTAAAGTGTTTTATTTAAATGTGTACTACTCGCGTAAACTATAGACAGTATCTATGGTAAAATTGTTGATATTTCGTTCTTAATTTTTTTTTCATTTGATAATCAATTTTGGCATTTTTATAATAGCGGAGAATAGATAAGCATAGCGTTCACATAATAAAAGGTGAAATACCCTAGCCATATAAAATCTCAGCTAGATGCGTTGTCGGCCTATATTTGGTAGACTTAACTACTATTTTACCCAATATCTCTCACTCTTTAGCAATTCGTATTATAAAAGTACGTTTACCTTTAACGACTAACTCTTAACTTGCTATAACAAGTTAAAAACAATTCTATACAACACGAGGCACTTAGTAAATATTGTAAACAAGTATTTCTTATTAAAATTATAGCGTCAATAAAAACATTCCGCATTACACGCATATTTTATGTACAAAATGCGGATAAAATTCCACGCTTTCTGTAACTAATTGAATCTCGTTTAAAACGTTTTTGTAGGAACAACTTTGTGATCTGAAGTTCAGGTATAATTTAGTTTGTAGTCCGTACCTAAAGGGTAAAAAGTTACTAAAAATTACTATTAAAATTCACGGTCTACTGTCATGTTGTATATTAACGGGTTTGATCGTAGCAACGTATAGTTAGGAATTAACAGGTCGTAGATTCGATTCCTACCAGGCCCATTATGATTCTAATGAATTTATAATTGTTCTAAAACATGGTGGACTTCGTCTGAAAATCTAAATATTTAATAGGTGATCAAATATTACGAGATTAGGTACTGTCGGTACCCAAGTTATACACGTGTAAATAAAACACTTTAACGGTTTAAAACGTGATATTAGTTACTTATTGGAAATTATTTCAAATACGACTCGAGGTTTTGGATGCTTTGTAGCAGCCGTAACCATGACTGGTGCAAAGCTGATGTGACAACTAAAATATATCGCGATCTAAACCGTTTGAATATTGTATTTAAATACGATATTTAGGTTGATGGAGGATTATTATGTTATATATAATAATAAATAAAGAGAGGAAATATTAAAAGAAAATTTTAGTTTATTTACTACAGATGTATAATATATACATTAAGCATACAATTATAATGTATAAGACTTATCTGTTGCAATAAAATAACTATTTTATTTAATACCATTTATTTGTACAGTTTAAATACTAAAAACCGGATTGAGCTAGATGACATAAGTACAGTATTTTCGCAAAATTTCTTACGTGAAGCGAAACTTGTGGTAATAACTCCTACCCACTTGTTTTAGATAGCTTAAATTTGTCGTTCTTGGGTAATGTTGTTTCTTAATAGACTAAAGATGATTTCCTCAGACATGACAATAAAGAATTACATAATGCGTGTCTTGTTACGGTCATACAAGTAAGGCAGTGGTCCCATAGTGACGCGTTACGCCGCTTATATCTCCTGCACCAAAGACATCGTCATGGTAACAATATTTGTTGACAAACTTTTGTATGACTTGTGTAAACGTGTGAAAAAGACAACAACAGTAGATTTCTTTAACCCACCGCTCCGGAAAATCTATAGTAATACATATAATATAAAGTTGAAGAAAATGTTTAAACGCAAGTGTGGAAAACAACAGGACAAATATTTATCTTTGAGGGCTTCAGTTTCGTACTCTGTGAAGACGGTTCAGGAAACCAAAAAATATGTACGATAGAATGATTACTTTTTGAATTAGATACAGTCTGTAGTTTACGCGAGTGTTACATATTTAAAAAAAGCACTTTAATGGTTTAAAGCGCGGGGGTCCCGTGACCACGTCGGCGTGCGAAACGTCGGGCTGTAATTAAAATATGTAATTACATTTAACTACTATATATCACGTTTTAAACCGTTAAAGTGTTTAACGGGTTAAAACTTGATATGTACGTGATATATAACTCTTTAAATCATTAAAAAAAAATTGCCTGCGACAGCATATGTCGAATGTATATGTTTGTCTTTCAAGATTAACTCACAAAATACGTTTTTATGGTAATCAAAATTTGATAGAAATTAATACATTAGTGCTAATTATTTGTAATAGTTGTATCAACATAATAATATCAATCTTGCAAACAAAATAACTACGTATGCTGGATCAGCTAGTATGTTTTAACAATTGACTAACCGGGCCACTTAAGTAGGACACCAAGTCGCGCGTTAAAGCGTTTATAGGCAACCGAAGCCTAATAGTAAACTAAATTAATTTTCAAGAGCGGGCAATACTTTTAACGATGGATACACGATTCGTCGCTTATACCCGAGCCATGTTTGTTCCTGTGGGATGTTTACAAAAGTGCAGTATTAATAATGACTTAAAATCTCAGGTAAGGTCCAGTTAATGTGTAGTCACGAGGCGTCACGATTTTTAGTACAAATGTTGACAGCATCACACCTAGAGCCAATAATAAACTAAAACACCTACGTAAGGTAACGTAAGGTCGGTCTTAGCTTCGATTTCCGGATAGCATAATATCCTTGGAGGTCACTGAAATCTGATAAACTACTTGTCTGTAAATAACATTGGTATCATCTTTATAACTAAGTACTGTCTATTGTTAACATATTTAAGCAACACACTTTTTGACAGTTTAAAAACGCTTTGCAGTAGCGCAATGGTCACGTAGAAGCATTTATTGTTAAAAGAGTTTAAATAAAAAACTTTTAAACGGTTTTAAGCACGCAATATATATCCATTACATTATCTACAATTTATTTTAACTATGGCTTGACGTTTCAGATGCTTTTCAGTCGTGGTCTTAAGGGACAAAGTTAACTAATAAATTTCGCGTATCAAACGGTTAAAGTGTCATAAAATAAAAAAAAGTTTAATGGCTTAAAAACCCAAGATATATTAGTTAATGTATCACTACTTATTATAACTACGGCCCGACGTTTCAGATGCTTTTCAGTCGTGGTCTCGGAAGCAAAGTTTATATATTTAAACGTGAACTACTCGCGAAGACAGTTTAAAGAAAGAAATAATATTATTGTATTATATTTGGATTTAAACCCGCTTAATTTCGAGTACATTTTTTTTCTCAACCACAGATACAAAACACACGAGAGAGCGTTCCATTCACAGATACTACAATTTTATTTTAAATCTTTATGCTATAACGTTTGACTGTTGTCATTGCAAATGAATGGTGAACGACTCGCGTCGGTCACGATGCCCCGGAACAGGACAATGGGGGGTGTTGACACGTCCACCGACAAAGCTCTGTATGGGTCGGTTACTCACACGCCACAGGTTAGCAGGACACAAACAGAATACTAATAACACAATAATTAACGAGATTCGTTACACACAACTTTAAATACCATTTAAAAATAATTGACTTTGTTAATGTAATCGAACAAAAAAAAAAAAAAAAAAAAAAAAAAAAAAAAAAAAAAAAAAAAAAAAAAAAAAAAAAAAAAAAAAAAAAAAGGAAAAAAAAAAAAAAGGAAAAAAAATAAAAAAAAAAACCTTTGGAAAAAATAAAAAAAATGAAAAAACCACTGGCAGTACATACGAATACAATTCCCGCGAAAGAATTAGATATTTTATAGAGCCTATATCTGGGTATACCTAGGTTATCCTTATTTAGTAAGCCCAGGACTACAAAAAATCATATTTGTATAATTTAAAAATCGAAAATATATTGAAAAAAAAATTCGACTCGGGCAGGCCTTGAACCGGCATCGTCAGTGTTCCGTGCTGTTGCTCTACCAATTGAGCTACCGAGTTCAAACTATTTTCACCCAGTACTGCGATTGTCTTTTCACTTTTACCCACCAAAAGAGTTTCTACCACTTAGAAGCTTAGAACGAGATGTATTAAATCTTATAAGGGCATCATAAATAAGAACGAATACTTTCTTTTTTACAAGCGTAACATGAAGTTTGTTTAAAAGTGTATTAGTCTCACTTGCTTATAAATATTTTAATCGAACGCGTCGAATCGTAAATTGATTGGAAAATAATTTTTATAATTAATCACCTGGGTTTGATATCTAATTTGTAGTTTCGAGAAATTTCGTTATGGAGAAATTATGAATATTTATTATAGCGAAATGTTAACAAATATACTTTTTGACTCAGACATACGAACAAAAGCAACGAGTTAAAAGTGTCTTTAGCTTTTAAAACATTAATATTTTTCACATGTTATTGCACATGAAGGCACTATATAATTTAAAAATCGAAAATAAATTGAAAAAATTTTCGACTCGGGCAGGACTTGAACCGGCATTGTCAGCGTTCCGTGCTGTTGCTCTACCAATTGAGCTACCGAGTCCTACACCTCATCGTCGATTTTTTTCAACTTATTGATACATGTACCTCTCGCGCAGTGTAATTTCAACCTTAACACTTGCGTACTAAGGTCTTTAGCTATAGACAATAGTGATAAAATAATAATATGTGTTTTTGTTTGTATGTCTAACTCTAATCTATTTGATTTAGAATCAAAGTGATTTTCGCGTTTTACACCGTTAGCGTTACCGTTATTTCAACTAAACGGTGGTTCATAACTCGGACGGAGTTTCGGTATTCCTACCACATATCTCTGAAAAATTATAAACACGTTGGATCCGTCGGAGGCCGAACCCACGACCCGTTGACACACCACACAATGCTACCATTAGACCGACGAGCCAGTCAAATTCAATATTGACAAGAAGCGTTATAAATACAAGCTAGACAGTTTCTAGTTCACATCTTCCCACATGACGAAGTCTGCAGATGAGTCACAATAAGTGAGGTCAAGAGCACGGTTCACCAGTTGCCTACCTGATGAGATTTGCGTGTGCCACAAGCAGAAATACCTACACCCACGGAGTACCGCGTAATGAGTAAAGTTGGATGCGCGCCAATGCCTCTTCCTGAAAAAATAAGCCAAGTGCGCATCGGTTATGGGATATCGCAGACTTATGGGTTTAGACATTTTTTATGGACTAGCTGTGCACATGATTTCGGCTTGAAATAGTGATTTTGAGCGTCATAATAATAAACTTTATAAATTGCTAGCTGTGCCAGCGACTTCGTCCGCTAAGAATATTTATTTTGGGCATCCAAATTCGTTTTTGCAAATCCCTTCATCTTTATATACTTAAGCTCTTACCCGCGACTTTGGTCGCGACTCTTCCCGTCGTTCCTGCAAGTTAATCTTAAAATAGAGACATATAGCGTCGAAGACTTTTTTTAAGGTCATTCAAAGGTAAATCATTCTCTTATACATATTTTTTAGGTATCTTGGACCGTTTTTGCAGCGCACGCCTCGGAAACCCATAATGGAAAATGATTTTCCCAAATTTATTTACATGTTCCCGCTGTATCTTCACTTGTCACACTTCACTTGTTGTTGACAACTTAAATAAGGGGAATGTTTTAGCCTATAGCCTTCCTCGATAAATGTTCTAACCAACACAAAAATAATTTTTCAATTCTAACCCGCAGTTTCTGAGATTAGCGCATTCTAACAATCAAACAAACACTGCATCTTTATATATTAGTATAGATTATAGCTGATACCCACGATGTCGTCCGCATCCCGTCTTTTTGCACGTTAATCTTAAAATATAGACATAATATACTGTCGTGGACGTTTTAAGAAAATATTTATACATCTATCTTTACATAACACAACATGTTTTGCAATAAAAAAAAAGAAATTCTGTAACGCTAATAGCTTGTATGTGCATATGTTTGTTTAAAAAAACATAATACATTAAACGCCAGTTTAATATGTGAATAGTACTTAGTTGTAATTTTACCATTTCACGTAAAGTTAAACTCAATGTTATAAACCCAACTAGAACCGGTGACTCAATACAAATTACGATAAATCATTCTAAAATACTCAAAAACGTATAATTATACAGATATTAATTACCTAAATGACATTAAAATACGGATTTATATGAGATGCGATCAATTAATGTTGAAAATACCAATACTAATTGTGTTTCTCGGTGTTACTTGCTATTTAAATATTATTAATTTGGTTTGAACAGAAAACTTTATTTAACATAATGATGCATTAAATGAAAATGTATATCTTTAAACGAGGGATTTGAAAGTTAAAAATGATAAATTACATATATTTTCTTTATATAAACCGTCAATAATGTTTTATTTGTATACTATTTGCGTTCAGCATAATTAGTCAGTTTTGTTCTTTGTACAATGCTAAGCAAAAATGTTTAATAACTTTATTAAACATTTTTGCCTTATTCTATTAACCCTGGGAATAAATTATAATATAATTAAAATCAACATACAGACAGAGACACTCCAGGTACCTATATGTAAGATAGTAATCGATTATTGAATGCACAAATTCCCACGGTATTTCGGCTGCTCGCCCACGCTTCAACTTTCATCTTGGGGCCCACAGCACACGTGACCGTCCGGGGAGCGCTTTTCTTCATTTGTACCATTGGTACAGAACCCAAATTCTGTTATCTATACTCATATATAAAGCTAACGAGTTTGTTTGTTTGTGTTTAATGTCAGGAACAACTGGTTCGAATTGAAAAAATATTTTTGTGCTAATTAGAACATTTATTTATGAAGGTTAAAAAATATCGCGATGTGACTATTAGGAGCGAAGATATAGCGGGAAATGTGTAAAAAAAAAACGGAGAAAATTATTCATCTTTGTTGATTTCCGATGCGTACGCTTCGATAACATACCAAAAAAATATGTATGAATGAATAATTACTCTTTATATGATCTAAAAAATGTCCGCGATACATATCTATATGTTAAGATTAACTTGCAAGAACGACGGGACGCAATCGACGTCGTGGGTATCAGCTTAAGTCTATAAAGATGAAGAGGTTTGCAAAAATAAATTTGGACGCCCAAAATAACGTTTTTCGCGGACTCGCCACAGAAAAATCCACTTTACTCTATCGTTAGAATGACTTGACCATTTTGTATTCTACAATGCATTATCGCAATCTGTGTTTTTCACAAGCAATTGACAATCTCGATGTTATGTCGATGGCATCTCGCTAGTATATCACTTAGCAGAATCAGGATCCTGGAAAGGCAACTCTTTATTGTACGAACACTTGAACGTCAAGAAATGCATATTCTCAATGAGACGTGTATAGCTGTCACTTCAGGTTGTCTGGGGTTGTACTGAATAATTACAGAATGGTATTGGTTTCATGATTTGTTACAAGTATGTTTTTTATGAGATTACTTTTATAAAAAATCTAATATTCAGGACAGGTGTTAAAGTGTTATATTACATGTTAACACATATATTTAAATAAAACACTTTAGCGGTTTAAAACGCGATATATTAGTTAAACTTATTTGGAAATGATTTTTAACTTCGGCCCGACGTTTCGGATGCTTTGCAGCAGCCGTGATCACGGGGAGACTAAAGATGGAGGATGTCTCTGACGTCAAAGTAAAAAATTGCTACGCTAGCGCCATCTGTTCCGTCGAAGTTGGTATTTGGCGATACTTATATATATATAATGAAATATTATTATAGGGTGTTGGCAAGGTTTTTCGTATTTGTTTCCATTTCGTTTCTATTTCCCATTCCGTACTAAAGCCTTATTATAGTTTGCTTTAAGAGCTCATACTTATATTAAGGCTCGTGTTTTATCAGTTTTTTAACTTACTACCAGGAAAATTACAAAATTTTTGGCCCAATGTATAATTTAACATATTTTTTTATAAATCTCCTTCCATAATTATACGTAAGTTGGAAAGGGGGGGGGGGGGGGGGGGGGGGGGGGGGGGGCCCCCCCCCCCCCCCCCCCCAGGGGGGAAAAAAAAAAAAACCAACCGGGGGGAAAAAAACCCCCCAAAAAAAAAAAAAAAAAAAAAAAAAAGGCGGGCAGGAAAAAATTTTTTAAAAGAAAAAAAGGGGGGGGGGGGGGGAAAAAACCCTGGGGGGGGGGGAAAAAAAAAAAAAAGAGGGGGAGAAAAAAAAAAAAAAAGGGGGGGGGGGGGGGGGGCCGGCCCCCCTGGGCGCATAGGGTTTTTGGGGACACCCTGGGGGGAAAGGGAGGAAAAAAAAATTAAAAATTTTTTTGAAAAAGGGTTTTTTTGCAAAAGGGGTTTAGTATAATCTGTATTTTTTACTGTTGGCCTAGTATTATCTGTAATATCTGTTAAATTTGAAAACAGATTATTCCCATAGAACTATTTACCGTTCACAGATAATAAATAGCACGTAATACAGATAAGCTTCATTTGAATATCGTACAATCTATGTCAAAGAAAGTGAGATCCGAGAGTCCATTGATTAAGGAGTGGCCAAACTGCATCCACCTAGTTGTGGCAGTGGTCGTAAAAAATTTTGAATGGTTTTTTCTTGTAAGGGCAACGCGTATTGGAAAACCTGTTTGCGGCCACACAACACGTCTGTTTCGTCTCGCATACTCCTATACAAGATATTTATACAATAACTAGTTTGAAGGACATTGATCACGCTTATTGAGAGCCGCGTGTTTGTTTTCGTTTTTTATCGATACATTTATGTAATTTTGAAGTCGACACGCGTTTGTTTGTGTTGCCTTTTTGTTAGCTTCTTCGGATGCTTTTAATTAGAACTTTGAGTTTATTGAACCGAGTATGTTTTTATAAACTGCGATTAATATTAAACAAGTTAAACAAAACAGAAGAGAGTTCCTGAATTTCACGTGTAAATTACCAGGTTGGGTTGCTGTTTTGATTAAAATGTAGTTTTACATAAATATATAGCAATAAATCTGTTAAGTTTGTAGTTTTACAATGTACACACGCCTATTTTTTTTAACAGTAGTAGTATTATAAAAGGACTAAATACAGATAAAATAAAATAATACAATTCTGTTCATGTCATGGGCAACTTTTCAAACCAGCATTGAATTTCTGAAAATCAAGTTATCTACATGTAACTTTAAAAACCTTTACAAATTTATCCTTTAGCCACCTTCATCACATACCGACCACCAGGAGTGAGAGGTATTTTTAACTATGATTACCACCATAGTAAAAAATGCCTCTTCACTCAATCAAAAGAAATGAAGGCATTAAAATAAGAAAACAGAAAATGTAACTTGTGAGTTTTTCAACCACGTTTGTTGTGTTGAACGCTTGCGCAATGCATCCCACATGTTATAAGGACCGTTCATTGTTAAAGCACAGGTGTTACTTTGAAACTAAACAATATAAACATTGATAAGACATAGAAATAAGTTTTACGGTGCAATAAACTAGATTACGATCGGGGAATGATTTATTTGCGCCAAAACTTAAGAAATGGTTAACTCCTTTACTTTGATTTAAATAAAACATTTTCAACGGTTTAAAACGCGAAGGGTTGCAAAGTATCCTGAACGTCGGGTAGTAGGTGCATTTAAATAGACGTAATAGATCTATTTAATAGTTTGTTTTTATTTAAAAAAATACGAACATATAAATTTCATATAGGCATTAATTGTGTTAAGTACATACACATTGTGGTACATATTTAAATAAAACAATTAACGGTTTAAAACGCGAAATGAATTGTTACTGACCCATGGCTACTGCAAAGCATCCGAAAGGGTTCGTATTAAAATAAATAGTAAGTTTTACTAAAAATATTCGCGTTTAAACCGTTAAAATAGTTTTATTTAAATGTGTGCTACGTAAACTACGGACATTTTCCGTTTCTTATCTCTTAAAAAGACAATACATTAGTCGATTAATCAAACTCTTGTCTTGCTTGTCTTGTGTACAAAGGACACTTAACATTAATGAATGTCGTAGAAATTTTTCTCACAAGCCAAACTCACCTCCCACCGCTTGATACTTTGATAAAATAAACTTGATGAATTGCCAGAACTTATGCAAACAGTTCTAGAGTAGGTAAGGTTCGCACACTTTCGCTGAGACAGTTTGGAGTCGTTTCGTCATCACATGTGATGGCCGTCCAGTTATTTGAGACCCCTGATCTCGTCCTCAATTGGATTGTTGGAGATAGCGTAGTGTAACGAGAGACGGGTCTTGTAAACTGGCGTATATCTTAAAGACCACCCAGAGCGGTTAGATGGGCTTGTTCATTTTCAAGATTATCTTTAATGAATTTACATAGCTATTTTACAAAGCGAGACATCATTATGGGTTATGTGTATGAATTGAAATGTTGTTGGTATTTGTTAAGGAATTAGGAATCTGTGGATAACTGTTTTTATTTTTTTTGTGTTGGGTTCTCATTCCGATGGGAAGCGAATCTTAAAAGATAGACATATACAATCAGGAATATTTTTTACATCATTTAAACTGGAATATTTTTTTAATACATATTTTTTGGATCAAAACGTTTTCGCAGCTATTTCGTGAAAAATAATTTTTCCCGTTTATTCAACATTTCACACTGTTTTTTCGTTTTATAGCTGCATCACAATGTTTTGAGCCTCAATCCTATAAAGGCTGTAACCTATGCAAAAATAATTTTTCAATTCGAATTAGTAGTTATTGAGATTAGGGCGTTCAAACAAACGAGCAATAAACTCTTCAGCTTTATATATTAACTATAGTATAGATCATAGTCATTTTTTAATTATTTTTTCATTTCTATCACTCAGTATTTATTTTTATCTGTAACTATTGCTGAGGTACATCTGATCAAAAGAAAACAATTCACTCTTCATCTCAACCTTGGCTGACCGATATAAGCGTCTGAGATCAAAACAACTAATTCATTCAGACAATTTGGTATGGTCGAAGAAACGTCCAAAACAATGGTTCACGGACTTATGATGCCAAAATGACACATTTAACACACAATTGTTTTGAAAAACAGCGGCGAAGTGGCGACTTAATATTCAAGATCAAGATTTTATAATTTGGCCGACAGTCTGTGCTTATACTTGGTTTCGTTGGTTATGGTATATATGCCGATTTCTTTATTTCTGTTGAAGAACGTCTGATTTAATATCATACATTTATTTTGACATACAGCTCAACAAGAAATATAATTAAAATTTGAGGAAACATGTATAATAAAAATCATAGTTAGAAAAAATAAAATATTTTAGTTTTTATTTAATGTACTGCTGTGAGTACTTCCACCTGAAGCTAAGCTACAAACTTTTTGATAAGATTATGATAAGATATTAAATTAAGTTTCGCTTTTGGTATATAAAAATTAAGTAAGTTTTAATTTTATAGCGTCACAAATTAGTCATAAATAATGGGCCTTAAAACTGTACACCGAATTCCTTTCTTTACGTTTTTTCGTTTTCCGTGAAATCATGTTCAGAAACGTACATATAAATATTTGTATTCACGACTTAGAATAGACCTCGGAACTGCACCAATGAGATTTTTAATAAAAACAATTTATTCATTCCTATCAACTTTTCTTGAGCGCTTTGTAAAGTTATATAATATAAAAAAGTACGGTTGTTAAATAACAATCAAAAGATTTATTAATTACAATCGAAAATAGGATTGAATGGTTAAGCAAAAAGGTTACATAAAACTGATTGTCGAAATCCGCAGATTTACCTCTCCACTGACGGCCATCGTGGGAAAGTATTGGCATAGCTTCAAAATTCTTGCCATTAATGGCTGGTATAGAAAGTAATGCTAAAACTATTGTAATCTAAATAGATGCATAACCGTAATTTCTTCTACTAATACGTTGAATTATTGTTACTATAACACATTGTTGTAACATATTGTTAACGGTTTAAATCAAAAACTTAAACATAATGACTGGTTTAAATGGTAGAACAACACGGAACGCTGTTAATGCCGGTTCGAGTCCTGCCGGAGTCGAAAACATTTTTCAATTTGCGATTTTTAAATTATATTAGTTAAACATAATTAATTTAACTACGGCCCGACGTTTCGGATGCTTTGCAGCAGCCGTGGCCACGTGCAGAGTGTAAACCGTTAAATGTGTTTTATTTTTATTTAAAGTACTACTCGTTAGTTTTACAATGTCCAAAATTGAAAAGGGTCGACATCGCATCTTAGTTATATGTTAAATTATTGTAATGATGGTGAGGTTACATTACATCTTCCAAGCTTATGTATAAGTCAAAACTTTTGAAGCATATATGTTATTATGTTATTTAATTAAAACATTATTAATTAATTATTTATTCTCAATTATTATACATTATCAATACAATTAGCAGTATTAAATTAAGATGGATATAAATTAGTTCACGTCAAGTTTGAATCTTAGCCATTCTATTAATAGTCAGATTCTCTAAACAATCGTGTAATTTCCGCGTTTTTTCGCTTCAATAATTTGAGACAAAGGGGCATTGTATAATAATATTAATATTAAATCAAGTATGGATAATAGCTGTCTGCTTATGGTAATGGAATGCAGTAATAAAGCGGTTTTGTTCCATATAACGCAGCCTGCAGGTGAGTGTTGCGTCAGACGTATGCGCCGGCGCAACGCCTCTCACTTCTAGGGCTCGAGCCGTCAAGTTGGCTTGAAGCGAGAAATTATATCTCAGACTAGCTGTGGAAGCGACTTCGTCCGCGTGGAATGCTTATTTTGGGTGTCAAGATTTGTTTCTGCCAAACTTCCTTATCTTTATAAATTATAGCTGTTACCCACGAAATCGTACGCGTCCCGGCGTCTTGTAGGTTAATCTAAAAAGATATACAAATACTGCCGCGAACATTTTTTTAGATCATATAAAGAGGAATCATTATTTCATATTTTTTAGGTATCTTAAACCATTTTCGCTATGTACACAACGGAACCCATCAAAGATGAATAATTTTTCCACATTTCCCACTGTTTCTTTGCTCCTTTGGTCACAGTGTGATGTTTTATGGCCTTAAGCCTTCCTCGATAAACGTATAACCAACACAAAAATATTTTTTCTAATACGACTAGTTCTTCCTGAGATAAGCGTGTTCAAACAAACAAACGAACAAACAAACCCTTCTGTTTTATATTATTAGTGTAAGTAATTCTTTTTACATCGCCCACGTTCAGTTTTCGATTATTTTATTTTAAATAGCGTGTACCTACAGAAATTTTCGTCATTTAATCTACAGAATTTAATCGTTTTATTGTACTCGTAGTATATTACACGTACTTGTTATTAGGAGATCTAAAAATGGACTCTTACATATGACATATTTGGTTATTTATATAAGTAATTATAATTATAAAGCTGAAGAGTTTGTTTGTTTACTAGAACGCGCTATTTCAGTAACTAAGTACTACAAACACAAAAATATTTTTTCAATTCGAACTAGTAGTTGCTAAGACTTGTGCGTTTAAACAAACAAACAAACTCTGCTTTATAATATTAGAATAGATACGATTAGGAGAAAAGAATCTAACACGAAGGAAGAAATATTATTAGTACTTTTTAGTTTTATTGTATATGTATGCATGAAAATTAGCTTTATGAGCTTTGAAATTTATTAAAACAAGAATGAGAATAAATATTTAAATTGTGAAATATTATAAACTACTACTCTACTGTCAAAGAACTCGCTACTAATTGTAGATATTCTCAGGTTAGAAGGTGTGGGCGCAAGAATTGTATTTTATCGCTTGTTTAACTACTTCAATTGGTCTTTAGTAAAATTTATGTTTACTTGTGAGCTAACAAAATTTGTAGAAGAGTAACTAGTTATCCAAATAAATAATAATCTATTATTTCATATATGTGAATGTCGTGGTCGTAGTTTAAAGATAATTTAACATATATAGTTGTATTGAAAAAAGTTGTGTGTTTAATGTAAATAATTCTTTGTTTTTTTTTTAAATACAGTACTGTACTGCATATATGAAGAGGTAATACTAAAATACATCCGAGTTTTATAAAGCGGTTCAGAGACCCGCAGTTTATAATAAATAGAAATAATCCAAAATTAATATCAATAAAAAGCGGCTTACCTTTTTTCATGGTTCTTAAATAACTACTTATTAAGAATAATTATTAATCTTAAAGTTTTAACGCTTTAAAACACGTCATATTAACTTAGTTACAATTGACTTTACATCACGACGTTTCGTCACTATAATGTAGTCTAGTATATTGCACGTTTTAAACCGTTGAAAGTAATTTATTAAAATGTGTACTACTCGCATAAATAACAGTCAGTAACTTAAAGGTACACTGTCTCAAATTTCAAGTTTTGTTTACGTTTGCATAAATTATCATTTTTATTGCAAAATTGGTGCGAGTTGTATTCTTGCATATGTGCTACACAAATAGGCTGTTAATATGTGTTTTAAACCGTGTAAATATTAGATTTGCAATATTCGCTAGGCGTCACTTAGCACATTTGTTAGGCCGTTGTCAGATATACGACTGCACAGCATGCGAAACTGCGTGCCCAGTAGCATAGTTAGCTAGACAAGGGTCCTGGTACATAAGGAAGGAATCAGACCCTCCTTCCTTCTTTCCTCGTAGCTTAAAGTTATATTAGTCTTTAAAATTATAGAGAAGAACCAGAACATTTCACTTAAGACGTAAAAATCTTTTGATATTATATCCTAGGGCAGAGGGCGTTTATAGTGGTCCTCCATAACGATTGGTCTTGAGCTTCGCGCTTAATCTCGCTCTATCTCTTTCTCACTTTATTTTTCGCTGATTTGGTGCGGCCATTTTGCTCCTTGTTTAAAGATTCCGATCCGGGGAAATATCATCGGAATCTGTACCGAGTGTATGGTCAATCTCATTTCCATTTCAAAGGAGCAGGCTTCTTCCCTCCAGGGCCTTGGTGCTATACCATCTGGCCTTACGATGGAGCTAGGCCACTATCCGCGCCTTGTCTTTTCAGTACAGCTTAAAAATCTCTTGACTTTTCAAAAAAACCGGATGTTTGGCCTTCTGAAGTGTTACTAGCTTAGTGACCGGTAGATAGGACACTTAACGCCCTAAAAACGACGTCTCTATCATAACACTAGTCGATAAACATTACTCGTGTCAAAAATGAATGCAATAGTCTACAAACTATGATATCATATTTACAATTCGAAAAAAATTGGATTTAATAGATTCGGAAAGCGATATAATATGCCTCAAGCGATATAACATGATACTCTGTCGGCGTGTAAAAATACAATAGACTTCTATAATGCGATTAAATTTACGGTCTTTATATTAGACCACAGTCTAAGAGTATGGATGTTCTAATCGGTTTATTTGCTCTACTGATTACACGTTTCTCGTGTTGATTCAATTAATGTACAGAAGATAACTTATTTAATTTCTCAGCGATAACTCTAGTTAGACGTGATAAGATGCGTCTAGATGCGACTTAGCTACACCAAAATAATAACTTGACTTGACTTTGATGTATTATTTTAGAAGTTTCATCAATAGTTCATCAATTGTAACTGTTTTTTATAACAAGGTATAATTAAATACTGCCTGTACTTTACGCGAGTAGTACACATTTAAAGACCGTCTCTGTATCCAAGTGGTTAAATCATATTGCCTAGCATTGCGTTAACCGCGAGAGGTGCTGGGTTCGAATCCCAGGGAAACAAAAAAATAGTTTTAGTCGGGCAGGGCACAGAAGTGTCGATCAATAATTGCCTGTTAAAGATCGGATCAGTGAAACAGACACAGAAATGTGTTCGCCCAGAAATTGGGCCTGCCCACGAAGGGGAAACGGGATTTTACACACACACATTTCAATAAAACACTTCAACGATTTGAAACGCGATATAAATTTATTAAAATAAATTAACTACGGCCCGAAGTTTCGGATGCTTTGCAGCAGCCATGGTCACGGTGAAACTAAAGATGGAGGGTGTCTCTGACGTCAAGGAAAAGAACAGCTACGCCAGCGCCATCGGTTCCATCGAAGTTGGTATTTGGAGAAACTGGCTTAGCTCCTTGCAGAATTACTTACTGTGTTTCCCGGTATGCCATTTTTTGAAATAATTTCAAAATACTAATAAAACCATCTTAGAAAGAAACTCAGGAAACGTGTTTGCACTTCAAGAATCAAAAGATAACAAAATCCAGAGTTGTATATAAATTTACTTAACTGAAATAGCGAATCTAATAAAATATTTTATAGCCACTTTACATAAAACGTTGAACCTTGATCCAAAACTTCCGGCAACATCGTAATCAATTATGCTGTAGAACGAAGAGATGTCACTGCGCACGTAGGTTCAGTGACAGTCGGTCTTTGAATAATTACAAAGAGTCACAGCTTCAGAAACTAGAAAATCTCAATTTAACTTGAATATTAAATACATTCTAATTTAACCTTCCATCGAATGAATCCTATCTAACTAATATATATATATATATACCCCAGCCTTATATGACCTTAACAAGATGCGCTGGAGAGCTATTTTGGCTTTGGATATTCGCTAATCCACAGACTGAAACCGAAGTGCGAAACTTCAAGCCTTCTTTATCTGTATTAGAAGGTGGTAAAGAAATATCAATGGATATTAAATGTAATCTTTTAAATAAAATACTTTAACGGTTTAAAACGCGATATATTAGTTAAACTTATTTGAAAGTGATTTTTAACTCGGCCCGAGTTTAGATTTGCAGAGCGTGGATAAGGGGGACTGATGGAGGATGTCTCCGACGTCAAAGTAAAAAATTGCTACGCTACCGCCATCTGTTCCGTCGAAACGTCGGGCCGAAGTTAAAAATCGTTTTCAAATAAGTTTAACTAATATATCGCGGGTTTTAAACCGTTAAAGTGTTTTATTTAAATGTGTACTACTCGCGTAAACTAAAGACGACAGTATTTAAATGAAGAAAAAATGTTTGAAGAAAAAATATTAATAGATAAGTAACATGTCGGACCCAGTGGGGATCGAATTAACGACCCGTCAATTATTAGCCATACATGCTACCTTTAAACCAAGGAACCTTTCAGTATTAATTAAAGGTTCGTTCGTTCCTTTAATATTATCAAGAAAACTATGTATACTTATTTTAATATAATCGCTTAGTATCAAGTGACATTGACGGTTTTACCTTGACCTTGACGCGGATTACTCGTTTCGCGGATTGCGAAAAGTATATCCACTTCGGATGCACCCACTGCGGGCGCCATTTTATAATCCGTGAACTGGTACACGAACGATTATTCCGATGACCTTTAACGTTTTACGGCCTGAGGTAAACCGTATATATGCACGTATAATTTGGCAAGATGATGACGACGTGATGATAAAGAAAGGAAGGGTGTATAGGGCTAAAAAAAATGTATGATAAATGACAGACGTGCCCGCATGTCACTTGAAGACAGCTTATATTCCTCAGCCATATAAGATTTTGACAAGATGCCCAACGGAAATCCACAGACTAAAATAGTTACACTTACTTCTTGGCGTTTTTATCTGTCGAACATTCGTAACCCGTATGGAATTTCGATATTCCTAATCCCCGTTTAATATCCAGATTCAAACCTCGCGGGGATCAAACCGACAATATGTTGGTTATTAACTTATTTCCACATTAATTAAAGCTCTACTACTAGAGACAACCTAGTTTTCCTCAAAGAGTTTTTGAATAAGATTGAAAGAAAGACGTCGTCTTGTCGACAAATCAGATGTTCATCAGATAACGCCACCCTAGAAGAAAAAAGACAAAAGTTGTAAAAAGTACACAGACATAATGTAGCATATTCAGATTTACTCTTAAATGTTCTTAAATTCGTTAAAAAGTTAACTTATAGTCGATGAGTCTTCAAAAAGAATTATATTCGTTGATAAATAATCGAAGCTTTAAGGCAATACATTAAAAAGTTCATTCGAGTATCGCCGCTTTTTTGTCTGGAACGAGTTTTCACAAAATGCAAATTACCCTCCAATCGATATTAAATTACGTGCTGTATACAAAACAATTGAATAATGATCAATCATGTCATTAATGATAGAATGATAGCGCCGCTAACGAGCAGTGGCATATCTGAGCTTATTCTTTGTCTAATGTATGCTGATAAGATTGACAGTTTACGCGTATGAAGTATTGCTTTTTCATTACGTTAATTATTCCATCGAATAACTTTTTCCAAATTGACGGGCTCTTGTTGAAATGGTAGCAATATATGGCTAACATTTTTCTGATTAATTTATAATTTTCTGAAACACGTTGTACTTCGACTGGAAATCTAGATATTAAATGTGTTGTAGAAATACTAAAAATTTCGTCCGTAAAAAAGCTGTAAAGTTCAGTTGCGTTTCGGTTTCAGTCTGTGGATTTCCGAATATCCAAACCAAACATAGGTCGACAGCACATTTTGTTTAAATGTTATTGGCTGGGTTATTTCACCTACCATCAAGTGAAACTTATACTTGTCCTCCTCTATATACAAAAAAAAAAATATGTCTAACGTTATTTAAAAATAACATAGAGTCTCGTGTATTTGTATTTATCTATTTAGACCACTTTTAATATTCGAATTACGAGCATTGTTTATAATACTGTATTTATAAACTTTTATGAAAAAAATTAAAAACTACCCTCATTAAATATAGAAACTAATAATATTACTAAGTAGCCCTACGTTTAGCATGTATTGTACATTTTAATAAACGTCATAAAAATTACTAACTACCAACGACTATAGACTCCATCCCTATTGTTAACTGATATACTTATCATCCTACAGTAGACAAAGTATATAACGAGCTTTCGGTGGCATATTTGAAGTGCCTAATTGCTTCACCCAAATAAATGTTATTGTGCCAAGGTCAAGCGTGAATTTATTCTCGCTGATCTCCTATATGAATGGCTGCATTGTGCCAAATAACTTCAATTCATATTTATCTAGTGGCCAAAAATTTGTGTCCGATACTAAATTTAGGGAAGATCGTCATAATGATTATGTATGATAAAACGAGCGACATTTAAATTAAAAAAAAATAAAACAACCTTTCGAGCTAGCTCACGCTTAAATAAAATAATTTAAAAAA